AGACATGCTGACAGCCCCAAGAGGTTATGCTTTCCATTCAATCCAGAAATTGCTTCAAAGAAAGAAAGCATTAGTGTTCTAAGAAACATACATGATCGAGGGACCCCATTGCATCCTTTCCTACTAATGTTACTTCCCTCACTAGCCAGCCACTTTGGCGGAAAATAATGCCATAGAAAGGAAGAGTAGGGTAACCTACAGTTCCTTTTCCTCTTCTTACTCATCAGAAAGCCAAGCCTGGTAGAAAGTGTGTACATAAAGTATGCATATAAAGAAGTGAAATAAAAACAGCTGAGTTTGTTTTGTCAGCATTTCCACTGTTCTAACAAGAAAAAACTACATATGCATATATAAACTACAAAATGTGAATTGTATAATTTATATGACTCCATATACAAGTGCTCGAATATTTTCATTTAAAAGTGGTATTGCACTGTATAAAGATGAACATTAAAATTCATGCCAATAATTTAAAATTTTAATGTTTGGGTTGTTTTTCGTTGGTTTAGCAGCTAAGCCCAGGCATTCATCTGGGCACAATTTATCTTTTTTTAAAAAAAGATTTTATTTATTTATTTTTAGAGAGAAGGGAAGGGAAAGAGAAAGAGAGGGAGAGAAACATCGATATGTGAGAAACACATAGATCAGCTGCCTCTCGCAGGCCCCCAACTGGGGATCTGGCCCACAACCCAGGCGTGTGCTCTGACTAGGAATCACACTGGTGAGCTTCTGGCTCACAGGCCAGCACTCAATCCACTGAGCCCCACACGCCAGGGCTAATGTTCTTATAGTGGCATTAAATAGCAAATAAAAACACCACATCAAGTCGAGAGAGAGAGAACATGAGAGAAAGAAGAAAGCTTTGTCTTCCAAGACCTGTAATGACCATTCTCCCCTGCTTTGGATACAAGGAGCCCCACAGCTGCGTTCTGCTGTGGGCCTCACAAATGATGCCGCTGGCGCTGGTCCCATGGCTTTAAGTCATGTCTACAAGCACTGACAAAATGGTTCCCACCCCAGGCCTTTTCCCAGTGTGACTTCTCTAGGCCCTACCCGGGCCTCCATTAGGACCCCTGGCTGTTAGCTGCTCCTTTGGTAGAACAAACAAACAAACAAAAAGTCTCCTAAACATAGCTCTAAGTGGATGGGAAAATGGAGGTAAAATGACATGGTAAAAGGCTTATCCAAAGTCACAGGGCATGCCACGGATAGAGGCATAAGCTGACTCTCATCTTGCCTTTAGAGCCATTGCCACAGACTGTCTGCACCCACCTCCACTGGCATTTGAGTCTCAAAAATCATTTGAAAATGCCAACAAAGTCATTATGTGTTGTAACCTTTTGATCGCACCCCAGCTGGGGCCACCACAGCCCCACAGGAACAGATGTAAGGCATAAGGCTCTGCCCTTCAAGAGGTTCTGCACAGAACATTCCAAGGCCCCAGGGGAGTCTTGGTTTGTTCAAGGTCAAGAGGAGTTGATCAACAGGCCAATATATGCTTCCTTTGCAGCCTTGGTAAGGATTAGATTCTTGTATCTCCCCAGGCAAGTCAGAAATACCCTTTCTAATCATTGTAGCAAAGTTATTAGAAATTCTTAAGGAACAAGAGGCTTCGCATCTCTATTCTTGATTTTCTTGGGGAAAAAATATGCAAAGTCAAGTCCAGGCATCTTGTACCACGGGCCAGATCCCTACTAATCAGAAGAAACCCCAATCCAGAACAGACTACAACAACCATGCGCACTTTGCAAATTGCCTGTCCACCCTTCCTGTGGTCCCCTGAAGTCCTCTAAGTGGATGTTTTAGACTAGCATCTCTTAGCATATTCTAGCTGCATCCTGGCTATTGCCTTGGAGCCTTCCATGCAGAGTACTAGGGTCCACTGAACCTAGGTTTCCACCGAACCTAGGTTTCCACCTGATGCCTCACAACAGCCTTGTTAGTGCTAAGATGCCCTTAGCAACACAGCCTATACCTCCAGGTACTTCTGGGTTCGTCCAAATTCCTTCTAACCCCAAACCTCTCCCTCTATGCACAGCTGTGTAGAGGAGGACGGGTCCTTGAGAGAACATCTTCAGACTGCTCCTGCCTGGATCCTGCTGGGCTGCTCAGCTGGCACTGCAGCCCCAATGGGAAGGTCGGTTGCCTTTTTGCCAGAATGAATTTGCAGTAGCTGTCTGATTCCTTTTGGCAGACAAGAGAGGGAAAGGATATCTTGTGGGCCACAGTGCACTGTTCTGACTCTCACAACAACAGTGATCATCTTCTCTTCCCTTCCCATTAAATAATCATTGTCAATACGCACTTAAACATTTAGGTCGCCATTTAAAATAGTCTTCAGAAAATGATTTTTAATGAAATGTAAAACACTTCTGACATAATGGTAAATAGAACTAAAAGCAGGATACCAGAGAGGTCCTTTGTTTTATAAACGGTTTATATTTATATATAGAAAAAGTACAGGAAGAAAATATATCACAATGGGTCCCTTTAGGTGGTGGGGTTAAAGGTAATTTTCTATTTTCTTCCTTAAACTTTATGGTATTTTCTAAAAGACAATACAGTTTTACAGGTGTGTATTACTTTTATAATCCAGCAAGGAAGGATGCTTTTCTATTTCCTAGGTTTTCTGCAATAGTAGTGACTGATTTTATGCATTGTCTAAAAGAAAACCAACACCAGGCTTCTGCTTCTCTAGGTGACTTCTATGTGGATCCTCTCTCTCAGCTGTGTTTTCTATACAGGATACCCATTTTAGCTTTGACAAGGCTGTTCAGCTTGTGATTACTCTTCTTCTCTTTTATGTGATACCTGACAATATTTGGAAATAGCCCTATCAGAGTCTTGAATCAAGGCACTGTATTTCTTTTTCTTGGTAACCAGGGCCAAGAGCTCCCAACAGAATTTTCCAAGCGCGAGGCCTTTGGAGCCTACCTGAGACTGGACTGCCTCCAAGGAGACAGAAGTCGAGAGGATGCTGGCTTTGTGCAGCAAAGGTGTGATGATAAGAGCATTGATTTCAGAGTTGAGTGGCTCTAGAACCGCAGGGACTTTTTTTCCTCTGCAAAACTGATAATCATGTATCTTTTATCAAGTTGTTTTAGAGATTAAAAAAGACAATGTATAAAGGCCTAGCATAGTGCACACAGTAAATTATTAATATTAGTGGTGAGCACTGGAGAAGGCAGCAGAGGGGAAATCTCTCCCCACTCAAGCTTTCCAAAGTGTGGGGTGGGTAGGGGAGGAAGTGGAGGAGCTGTCCAGATCTTAACGCTACCCTGACTCGGCTGGCCTCACCAAGGGCACATCTTTGGTTTCACCATGGAAATATAACCACCACTTCTGGGGTGGACGATAGGCAGTGCTAGCCACAGGCCAGCAGCCAAAAGCATGGGGTGAGGGGCAACCCTAGAATGTCCATGGATAATACTAAATATAAGATTCCATTACCACTCTGAAATCACCACATTAGTGATCCAAACTGCCTCTTCCTCCTCCCACAGCCACTCTGCCCTTTAACTATTCATCAGGCAGTAATGAGTATGCCAGAGACTTACAGGAAGGAAAGGAAATTATGCTGTGCCTTATGAGGGGTTGAAATGTTCCCTCTTTGCTACACTACTACTTTATCTGCGCTGTTATTACTGCTACTGCTATCAGCACCACCGTTTCTACAACGGCTACCACTACTACTTTTAAGTTTGTAAACTACAGTTTTTAAAGTGCCTGGGTTTTGCCTGATGAAAGATGATACCGGACATGGCATTATGGGAAAGCAGAGGTAGGCTGGCACTAGAAGCCTCAAAGGGAACAGAACAGATCCGCACTTAGGAGTAGAGCAGAATTATCGATATTTTTCTTTCATCCCTCAACTGCCTGGGCCCCAGGCACACTCCCAGCCACACCCAGTCAGGCTCCCCAACCCCACTCAGCTCCAGCTGTCCACAGCTAATTTAGGCGATTTCAAGAGTTAGGGACTAGGAGTGATGAATGGCCTTTTGTTTGGTCGCGGGAGCTGGAGCATGCCAAATCCCACCAAATGGGGTAGAAGAAGAGGAGGGAATGCTTCTGACATGTGAGTCCATTGTCTCTGTCAGCATCTCTCCCCTTCTCACAGGACGGCCCTGGGAAGACCCGGACTCTTCCTCCTTTAGATTTTTAAAAAATTTCCCGTGTCAAAGTTAAATGTTGAGAAATGGTCGACTTCAACCCCCAAAGTGAACTCTGGGATGCACACCTCACCTTCTCACCCCAGTGGAAGGGCTCCCTTTCTCCTCACACTAGCAGCCCGCTGGCGTGAGGACCAACACCGCGCGGAGCGAGAAGGAGGCAGGGAGGAGAACGACAAACTATGAACTAGGTTCCCTTTGAGATCTCTCTCTTCACCTGGCAACCGGGCCCCAGCAGAGCTCGGAGAGAAGGAAGTGGCATTTTGGAATCCATTTTGCCCAAGATGCTGAAGGCATTTTGGCAAACTGCGCTTTGCTACCGGGGCCAAGAGAACTTGGGGAAGGACCTCACCCATAAGGATGCGGTCAGTCAGGGGAAGGTGAGGGCCAGCTCTGGCCCCAGTGGTACCCGCGGAGAGCGGTCACTGGGCATGCAGCGGGCGCGGGTGGCCCGCCCGGGCGCTGCTTCCCGCATTGGACCCAGGTTCGCTGGGGAGCGATAGTAGGTAACATCCGTCTCTGTCCAGTAATTTATAGGTGAGATTTATGATGGATGCGGGGGAATGGACGCGGGATGACAGTGAGTTTTGAAAGGTGCAATGCTAAGAGTCGTACTTTTCCCAAAGCGCCCCACCCCCACCCCCACCCCCAGGTCTTCTCTTCCTGGGCAACTCGGTCCCAGTGGAGCGGTGTGCCTCGCGGGCGCCGCGGGGGGTCAGCTGTGACCCAGAGGCCCGGGCCGCGGAATGGGGACCCGCGCCGGGCGGGAAGCAGGGAGGGCCGGGGAGGAGGGGCCGGGCGCGCCGCGCCGCGCCGCACCGCGCAGCTCACCTGCCAGGCTGTTGTAGCAGTCGATCTCGATGGCTTCCACGGTCTTGCTCTGCTCCTCCGAGAGGCGGCCAGGGTTGGGGGCCCCGGCGGGAGAGGCCGCACGCGAGTCCCGCTCCCGTTCCCCGGGGGCCGGCAGCAACCCCTTCAGCTCCAGCAACGCCCGGTGGTATTTCCCGATGGCTTCGCGGAATTTCTTGTCCTTGTAGCACTGCGATCCTTGGCTCTTGAACTCGTGCGCGCGCCGGATGAACTCGGCGGGCTCGGCCGCCGCCCCAGCCTGGCTCCGCGCTGGAGCCCCTCTGCCGCCGCCCGGGACGCCCAGCGGCGGCGGCGGCCGCTGCCCCTCGCCAGCTACCGGCAGGCTCGGGTTCCCCTTGGTCCCGGCCGCCGTGCCCTTCCTCTCCATTCGGCTGCCGCCCGGCGCCCCGCGCACGCCTCGATCCGCCCGCCGCCGCCGCCGCCGCCGCGCCCTCCCGGGTTTAAAAGCGGCGGGCACCTACCCGGCGTCTGGCGAGCTCGGCCGCGGCCGTGACACCCCGCGGCGGTCTGGCGCCCCGCACGCCCATTCTCCTCGCCAGCCGCGGGAGGCTGCTTGCTCTCTCCTCCTCCTCCTCCTCCTCCTCCTCCTCCTCCTCCTCCTCCTCCTCGGGTTGCCTTCCCCTCCTCTCTCCCTCCCTCCCTCCCCCACTCCCCGCGCCGCCCGCCCTCCTCTTCGCCCTCCTTCCCTCCCGCAACCTGCGGGGGTGGGGACGTGGCCCTGCGCGCTCCGGGGCTAGCGGAGTGGGGGACCGCGGGCCTGACTCGGGTGGCGGGGACGGTGCCTGACCCGGAAGAAGCTTGGCCCGCCTGAGAGAGGGGAGGATTAATGACCAAGGTGGCCCGGTTCTTTCCCATTGAACCCAGCCTTGGGAGGGAGACGCGCGTAGTCCGAAGGAGACCCAAGGGGTGTGTGTGTGTGTGTGTGTGTGTGTGTGTGTGTGTGTGTTTAGGGAGGGGGGAGGCCAGCGACAGAACGCAGGCAGACTCACCCTCAACAGATTTCTTAGAAACTGAAAAGGTGCAGCGAGAACCAAGGGGCGTAGGCACGAGCCATAGCTGCTTGTTCTTTTCAATAAGGCTTTAATATTTTTAAGGTGGCAGGGCCTCTTTTTTGTGGATCCAGGTGGTTGCTGAGGTGTGTGGCCGCCTGAGCGCCCAGAACGCAGTGCATTTCGGCCTGCGGGGCGCTGTACTCCAGCAGCCGCCGGGTGCTGACACCGCGGTGTGCAGGCAGCTGTGCAGAATGAGTCACAGACAGCCGAGATGGCAGCACACCTGTTACTGTCGGTCATCAGGCTTGGCGTTCTAGTTTCCATTTACAGGAGGGCTCCGTGCCCTTCCCCAGGATGCCATTCCTTCCTTCCTTCCTTCATTTTTTTTTAAAGAATTTTATTTTTAGAGAGAGGGGATGGGAGTGAGAACGAGAGGGAGAAACCGATTGCGAGAGATACTGTCCATCAGTTGCCTCTCGCACGCCCCCAACTGGGGATCTGGCCGGTAACCCAGGCAAGTGCCCAGACTGGGAATCCTACTGGCCCTCAGTCTGCTGAGCCACACCAACCACGGTGCTTCATTCATTCTTAGGTCAGCCTTGAGCGACAGCTGCCTGCCGTGGATCTGCTGAGACCAAAGGGCAAAAATAGGCATGTGACTGCCCTGCTGTCACTTAAGTAACTCCCAGTGTACTGGTGGAGAGAGACATCACCCACCCTTAGAGTCACTCTGCCAGGTAAAGTTCGGTATTACCAGGGAGGAACACAAAGTGCTGTGAAGCTGTGATGAGGGGAAAGAGAGGTGGCTTTTTCAGGGGTGGGTCAGAAGGCTTTATGGAGGAAATGGCTTGGAAGGGTGGGTGGTAGAATTTGGGCGTGAGGAAGTAGAAGGAACTGATATCAGCCAGACAGAGGAAATAGAGCAGAAGTTCTGATGTTTGAAATCTCCAGTGTGTTTAGGGCAGAGTGGTTTGAGTCTGTGGCCTAAACAGAGGCAGTGGGAAATGAGTGGGTTAGATCATTGAGGCATTTGGATGAAGAGCGTGTTTTATTTTGTAAGCAATAGAGAAGCCTGACCTTTTCTTAGTGCTTCCCCCACTCTTTTATGATGCTAAGGAAAACACACAGGCATTCTAAAGCAGTGGTCTTCAAAGGGTGGTTTCCACACCTGCAGGATCAGCATCACCTGGAAAACTGTCTGAAATGTGCATTTGAGGGCCCTGCTCCAGCTCTGTTAAAATCAGAAACTCTGGGGATGGGCTCCAGCACCCTTGAACAAACCCTCTGGTTGGTTCAGATGCACACACAAGTCTGAGAACCCGTGCTCCAAAACCTGGCTATTCACTCATAAAGTATAGGCCTTGGACCAAGCATCAGCACCATCCAAAAGCCTGTTAGAGAAGCAGAATTTATAAAGTCCCAGACCTACTGACCCACAATCTGTAGTCTAAAAAGGTCACCAGGTGATTCCTTTGCCTATTTGAGTGTGAGAAGCACTGCTTCAAAGGATTTGCAAAGTGCAGCGGCGGACAAAACCCCCAACCCCACTCTTGTCACCCAGATCTAGTCTTTGGTAATGCTTTGATGTCATCCCTATGGGTTGTTTTCTACACATCTCTGTTGGTACCAAGGCCTCTTTTAACAAGTATGAGTGGTATGAGACAATATATACAATTTCCCCATCTTTTTTATTTTACATTGTATGTGATTAGTCTCTTAAAGCCTCATGTTTAATGGCTTTATACTATTCATTTTATGTCTGTATCATAGAGTACTGAACCATTTTCCTATGGTGAAATTAATTCCAATTATTTGCTATTATACAAAGTACTGAGATAATAAAAATAATAGATACCATTTCTATCTAGTGCTTACTTTGTGACTGGCACTGGGTCAAGCACTTTACATATAATAATTCTTTTAACTGTCATAACAGCCCAGTGAAATAGTATTATTATTATCCCCATTTTCAAAAGCAGCTCAACAGAGACTTGCCCAAGTTCACATTGCTAATAAGTAGTGGAGCTGGGATTTAATTGCAAGCAATCTGCTTTCAGAATTTATACTCTTAAAAATATATATATATATTTATATATATTGAATTTTAATTGTTGTTCAAGTACAGTTTTCTGCCTTTTATCCCCATCCCAGCCCACCTCCCCCAGCCTTCCCCACCTCCCTCCCATTTCCACACCCCCTTGTTTTTGTCCACGTGTCCTTTATACTTGTTCCTGCAAACCCTTCCCCTTTTCCCCTGAAATTCCCTCCCCTCTCCCCTCTAATCACTGTCAGCTTGTTCTCAATTTCAGTGTCTTTGGTTATATTTTGTTTGTTTGTTTTGTTGATTAGGTTCCTGTTAAAGGTGAGATCATATGGTATTTGTCTCTCACCACCTGGCTTATTTTGCTTAACATAATGTTTTCCAGCTCCATCCATGTTGTCGCAAAGGGTAGGAGCTCCTTCTTTTTCTCTGCTGTGTAGAATTCCATTGTGTAAATGTACCATAGTTTTTTTGATCCATTCCTTTACTGATGGGCACCTAAGTTGCTTGCAGCACTTGGCTATCATAAATTGTGCTGCTATGAACATTGGGGTGCATAGGTTCTTTTGGATTAGTGTTTCAGGGTTCTTAGGGTATAATCCCAGCAGTGGAGTTGCCGGGTCAAAAGGCAGATCCATTTTTAGTTTTCTGAGAAAATTCCATGCTGCTTTTCATCTTAACTATATTTAGACTTCATTTTTGTCCTAATTATTTTTGCTTACAAGAAGTCCTGATGTCGATTTTAAGAATGCCTTGAAACTTTTTGTCACTTTGCTTTTCAGAAAGGTCGTACTAACGTGTGCTTCCACTGGCAATGACTAGTTTCACAACATCCTTGCCAACATTGAGGGTTAAACTTTAAAAAATATTTTCTAACTAATAAATGAGAACTCTATATGGAATGAACTAGGATCTCTTTAATTATAGGAGAGTACATTTTTCACTTGTAAAGTTGGCATTTATAGAGTACTGAGGGCCTTTATTTGGACACAATCTTAGTGTACTAAATGATACCTTATACATTACAGCACCTTCTTTTCCTAGGTGCTTGAACATCTTTGCTCTCATTTCATCTTCACTTTAGCCCCAGAGGTAGAAAATACTTTTCTGTTCACACAGTGGTTTCTGGCCGTGAGCCATGACGTTACTCCAGCAGTTAAGAGGCTCTGGGCTCAGACAGGTGTGGGCTGGAACTCTATCTTTGCTGCCTCCTAAGCAAGCCATTCAACTTATGAAAACTTCAAATTTCCTCCCTCATTAAACGGGGATGCTACTTACTTCATAGAGGTGTTGTGAAGTACATGGTAAGTGCTGAACAGATGGTAAGTTTAATCATTACTCATTAAATCCTGTCATTATTGGATCCTATAAACATGTTATGGCAGACTATTAATTCATATTTGCCAACCCCTAGCCTTTTTTCTCTTTTTTGCTTTAAGGTATTGTGTCAGGTAGAGGAAAGAGAAGACACTGGGGACTGGGTGCTGTGAGATTTTATCATTAACTTGCTACTCAGGCAGGCAGAGCTACTAAAGATAAATATTGGACGAAGATCCAGACGTGGGATTTGGCTACTGTCAGCAGTAAGACACAAATTGGGTCATGGTAATCACACCTGTTTAAACATGAGAAATACTGACATGCCAAGTTGCTTTTCATTTTCCTGCTCTATCCTGGCTTAATGGTACAGTATCTCAGACTTAGATTTTGGTTTTGGGGACAGGGCTGCAAGAGACATGTAATCCACATGGTACTTTCCTGTGTGTGAAACAGAGCTCAATGTGGGAGCTTAATACTAGCTTGGATGAAGGAAAGCATGAGTGAGGAAGGGAGGGAATATTATAGACAGAGGGATGGAGTGAGAGGAGACTTACTATGCCCATCTGTCCCACTCAGCAGAGCTGTAAGTGTATGTCTAGTACTGTTGTGTTTGCTTGTTTTTAGTATGTTTCTGTCTCTGTCTAAGCCACTTGTTGATAAATGTGTACTGGTTTCTCAGAAATTGTTTCCTCCCTTCAAATGTGATTAAGTAGGTGCCAAAGAGAAATTCTCAAATATCCTGTTGTTAACTATTGACCATATGCAGAGTACTATTTTTGGAAGTGAACAAAGATCCAACTGACAGACAGTTTGGGCATGGATTTAGGATTCAGAAACTCAGTGCTCCTCAAACTTTAACAGGCATATGAATCCCAATCTTATTACCACACAATTCCCTGATTCCATTAATGTAGGGTAGGGCCCAAGATTGTGCATTTCTCACATACTACCAGGTGATGCTGACACTGCTGGTCCACGGTCCGCCTTTTGAAGAGCAAGTATTTAGATGAAAGAGAAATTCCATCTGCCCTCTTCCCTCCTGGTCATTGTCTTTCCCCAGAGGACTTGTTCTTTAGATTGGTCAGATTCCAGGAAATTAATCCATCCACATTTAAAGGGCAGGGGTATAAACCTGCAGGCAGCTTTCTCTTCTACTTCACGCAGCAGGAATAGGTATGCTAAGCCAAGGCCTCTTCTTGGGAGCTGGCCATCTTGTTTTCTCTTCCTCAAATGCATCACCAAG